CGCGTCTTCTTTTCCCGACGTAAGATCATCACCTCCTCTCTCGTACGCCTCGTTACCCTTTTCCTTGTTGTTGCGACTTACGCGTTTTTATTCCGCGACTTTGTTGTTCGACTTGACGTTCGGGTAATGGAACCACATCGATGAAGCCAACTGAATAGAAAACACGCTCGAATAGAGAATACGTATTTATTTCCTGCATCGGTTAAGCTCTCAGATAAAGATCTTACTTTCAAAAATTCACCGTCATAATGCTCGAAAATGTCGAATAAATGGTCATTGATGATCCTGAAGATATACGAAGGGTTGTAAGTAGACGTTGCACTAGAGGCACCCGCATTTTTCACGAGAACTACCGTGTCACTCGACTTTGAAACTCGGCACGATGGCCCCGGTTCAAATGATAAACAACTCGAAATGTAGCTCCTAATCGCACGTAACAATTCCATTGTAGCAACGAGTGCGACCAACTGCCGTGCTTAACACTATATCTTTGACGACATATGGGATAGAGTCGATGGCCTTCTAGTACTTAATGTTTCGTGCTTGTACCTTGTACCCCTCTGTACGAACGAACTTTGATAGCCACTTGAAAAAGGTAAGGGTCGAAGCTTGAGAGGGATCATCTTCCGCTTTCGATATCGATGCCAAACGATTTTGCGTTTTGTCAAAATTTAGTTGAAATTGTTCGTAGATGACGTGGAAATTGGAATTTAGTACGATTATTATTTACGGCGAGTGGCCAAGTTCCAAGTGTCAGAGATACGCGAAATCGAATCATCGAGCGTTTGAAATTAGGTTGTCACGGAGTGGGTAGTCGTGATAGAACGTGTGCTGAAAATGTCCGCGTAATTTTAGACGACGAAGAGCAAGATTATTTGTACGAAAAATTCGGATTCGAGCGAATCGTTGAACAGTATGTTTCAGTTACGTTTGGTTCGTCTTGAGTTGCGTTGTAACTGTATATTTTAGGATTATTTTCAATATTAAGTACTTTAGTAAGTAATTTGAAGTTAGTGCCAGCTTTAGACATGGTTTATTTTCTTTCGTTCCTTATCGAAACTCGTTAGAAAATAAAGAATTCGTATGCGAATATCTAGGTACATAGTACGAATGTTTCCTGAAAAATAAGCGTGTAGACTATAAGACGTATGTTACATGGAATGTAATATTTTGTCTTTTTCTCATAATGTATAATAACTTATGATATATAATATATAAAAGATAACCTGTATAGCTTGGAATACAGATTGCTGATGATTAAATCGTTTTTGTAAACTACATTACCTATATAACGCGGAATAACGTACAAAATTATATATAAACGAAGAAGAAAAACAATACGTAATAAAAAACTGAAGAAACGTAAAGGAGGGAGGGGGGGAGGGCGGAAATAAACAGAAGTCAAAAGAAATATCAAATTAAAAAAGACTCACGTTCTTCCTTGATCGGAAAACAGCTTGGTGTTTTGATCTTCCGTTCTAAAACAAAAGGAGAAAAATAAACTAATTAAGTTTATTAAAGAAAATCATAGACCGAACTTAGAAATAACGTACTCTTTATAAAATAAAAAGTACAGAAAGGAATAAAATAATAAGAAAGGAAAGATTTATTCGATGTTGAAAAAAAATCATGTAAGTTGGGAAACGAATAAAAAGGTCTGTTAAAGTATTTCTTCGAGATTGTTAACAGTTGACAATCTGACGAACACGTTTTCTTTATAGTCTCGTTTCGTGGTTTTATTCTGTAAAATTTCGCAAAAACGTTGAAATAATGCTCGCCTGGCAAGCACCATAACGTTTTTATGGGACATTGTGTCAGGCGTGTTTCAACTCGACAACATTTTTCTCGCGGTACGATCATAAATAATTTACCTGCAAACAAGTACTACGTTCGTTCAGCTCGGACTTACCTGTGCGATATTCTGATTTATCATCCACCTTTCATTTGATTGTTCGTGGATTTGCAGTAAAATTATTTATAAGCGACGCTGCTATGTGATTTTCCTGTATGTTTAATATAAATAAATAAAAAAACGATCGATGTTTGACTTTTTTTATTCTCGTTTACCCGCGTACATACGTAGACACACGAGATATAAAGCTTAATCTGTGTCTCTTCCCTTTTAATCGCAACCCGTTCACTTCGCCACGTATCGCAAATTAGAATCGTCGTAGAATTTAGAAACAAAGTATGCAAAATTCTTCTTTCGTACGTTAACGTGATGCTACGCTATAATAAATATACCTCTTTTATTAAAAAAAAAAGAGGAGATTTAAAAGTCGAAACCTACTAAATTAAACGATTACAGATTGTACCTGGTATTTGTTAAAATGTTAGGGCTGTAAATACGATGTAAATACAACGTATAAAAATATTCGTTGTGGTTTATCTCTCAAGATATAAATAATTGAATTTTACACTCGAAATGTTTGTAGATTTTAATAGGTAGCTATAGTTACACTACGTTAAATTAGAAAATCCGATCGTCAAACTCAGGGATGACGTATCTTTGTTACGTAGCTATTGTTTATACAAGATCGTATGAAATTTCGAGATTTTTAATCTTCTTCTACGTTTCGTCGAATTTTCAGCGTCAGACGAACACTCGTGTATCACGTTGTCGCAAAAAATCGACTAAAAGAGTATCCCGTACTCTTGCACCGTATGCCTGTCTGTTCAATAATTGCTTAACCCACATTTTTTAATCGCTGCGCTATTAACAAATTTACGCAGCCTAAAGTAGACCTAAGTATCGGAGGTGCGCGGTTTAAACGGTGTTTAGTTCCCATCAAGAGCTACTTAATCTGCGATCGCGTAAACTCGCGCAACAATGGGGAAACGCGTGGCAGAGAAGGGGCGCACGTGATTACGCTGGCCGAAACTTCATCGTGGAGTCACGTGGCGCCGGAAAAACGGGCTGGGCGTTCGCCGTCGAAAAACCGAACCGCAAAGCCCGAAAGGAGCCACGAGCACTACCTACGAGAAAAATAACCCCGAGTCATGCGTTCCCACGTATAACGAAACGCGAACCACACGAAACACCAACCCCCTCGAGCCCTCGAGTTTTCGGCGTAACGTTTCGGATTACACGGTATTTTGCTGTTGCCTATTGCTCTTGCGGCTTGATGTTTGCTCGGACTCGTGATCGAATCCCTTCGAAAGCTTCGTTCGCCATTCTGATGCTCTTCTGAGTGAAAATTTCCGCAGTTTGCTCAACTGGTTAGTTGCTGGTTCGATGAGAAGGTGTTTCTCGTTGTGTATACCTCATGCCGGTGGTTTCATTTGACTTTGCGAACGATAGAAAGCGAATATTCTGCTGCGATTATTTCTAAACGAATTAAGGTGCTTCAGGTAGAGTTCAGGTAGAGCAAAAATTGGACCGATTTCTATGAATTCACGTACGAGTTTGGTATGGAAAATAAACGTACTATTCACGTATTTAGAATACTTTTACAAATACGTTGTACAAAAGTGGCACTGCGTACTGAAATTCTGAAATTCCGGAATTTCATTAAAGCTGTAGCGAGATGCTAATATCGCGACTATATTAGCTAAAGAAACTGATAGGAAAGTGCATATAGAAGTTACAAGATATTTACTGTAAATAGACATTAATAAAAGATTAATACGCAGCCTGAATGGTCGTGTTAGACAACGATAAACGCGGAAGACAGTTCCATTGAATGTTAAAGGCTATTAAAATACAACAACAACAACAACAACAACAACAACAATAATAATAATAAATATGTATTTGTATATTTAATAGCCTAAAAGTATTTTCTACGTATGCTTGCGTAATTAATAACGTTTTATTTTCTATTTGTAAGTGAAATAGCTAGAAAATCAATACTGAGATGTATTATTGTATAATTGCAAAAATATTATCCACTTAATGGTAATTTTAAACCATTTAGATTGTTTGAAATCTATCCTCGTTATCTACATCTTAATTTTATCTAGATGCATAATGGCTCGTATCACCACGATAAATAAAATCCTGATGTTAACGATTCACGGATTCGTATTTTTCTGTACACGTCCGTTTTATCGGATAATTTTATAATGGAAGATCGGTTAATTCGACGACGCCTTTATTATATAACGAAATACCTATGTATATAGGAGCATTCGGTATAGTTAGCTCGTAGTTGGAGAACGTCTAGCGAAGCGTGCAAACATCTCTATCGATTTAATTCCGTACGATGGCAAATTCCTGTCAACGTTCGCTTATATCGTCGTATAATTAATAGTAACGTAACAACATTTTTCATCAACATAAATTCGCGAAAGTTCGGCATTTATAACAAACGACGGAGACGTTTCTTAATCTTATCGCACAGGAGTACCTACTCTTCAGTCAGTCGGCCGAATCAATGACATGTGTATACTTACTATAGACTATAGTATAACAGCGTTATCTCGATGTTAGTAAATGTGCCAACTCGCGTGGATGTCTGCCTCTGAAAAGGAGGTCGGCTCTCGTCGCGGAGCGTTATCAGTTAAACAAGTTTTATAAGTTGGAACGTGCATGTGTCTACTATAATTTTTGCGTACCTAGATCGAGTAAACTTGTTTACACAAATAATCAAAGATCGAGCTGGTGTTTTAAAGTCTATCATAATAACAACAACAGTCTTGACATTTAACATCCGTTCACGTATTACTAAATAGCATCATCTGGTCGAACAGATTTTCAGTCGCGATCCCACGAGTATCTCCAAGAATGAAAAAAGAAAAAAAAAGATGGAAAACCAAAACTAAAACAAGAAGAACGGGAAAAAAGCGATTCAAGGGAGGAGAAAAAAGAACTATCGATCAAACCTTGAATTTGAAACGTCAAACTGGAAATGGGTGGACTTCGATCGGTCACAAAAGGAAAAAAGTTACCAGCGACGTAATAGCTACAGGGTGAGACGCGGTAACTCGATGCCTGGGTGTTTGACGCGTGCCTGAAGGACATAGGAGCGGATCCTTTCCCAGACGCTACTTTACACGCCATTTGCCTTTCTCCGTGTCCTCGCGCTGTTTTATCGTCGCATTAATTTTCGCGACAGGATCTCTGGCGGTGGAAAACCAGCCGCCTCTCGACTTTACCAACTTTTTACGCTGCCCTTCTATTCGCCAGCGAGTTACGAGGCCGTAACACCGGCATCCAGTTTTATTCGCGATCCGCGCGAACCTTTGCAATTTATACGCTGAATTGACAATTAGATTCGGACAAACAGACCTAGACTTTGCGGATCTACGAGTTTGCGTATATTTTCCAAGTTGTATCTACGAGTCACGTGTCTTATTGTTACAGATCTATAAATCTTGATCTTCCGGATCTCTAACCCGTTAAGAATCAACATCGCGTTAATTTTTCTATTGCGTTATTTTTAATTTTAGTTGCGTCAAAATCTACAGGTATTTATTTCGATTTATAGATTGAAATTTTGTGAATTTTAAAATTTATTATTCGTCTACTACTTATCACGATCTTACGAATGCACAGATTCCATGCGCGCTTGTATCTTATAAACTCAATAAGATAGAAGATATATGTGATCTTGTTACAGTTACAGATCGATTACGTATTTTGAAATATAGTAGAAAAGTACGATAATACGCCATGCTTATTGGCGAGCACACCTACGTCTGAATAATAGTGAATTTCGCGATATAAGAATTCTAAAATAGATAATCTATTACATTTTTGCTTTTAGGCTTATCTTAAATCTGCGGACGATATGTAAGACCTTTATCAAATCGATTGAATAAATATTTAACGAATTTATGTAATATTTGGAACGATAGAAGTTCTTTAAACGATGAATAGAAACTTAGAAATATAAAAATAGGAAAAGTATTTCCTTCGATTTTAAAGTTCGATTAATTACCATATGAAAAAATTAATTTTTTAACACATACCTAATACGTATTCAGGTTTCTATATGAATCAACCGACTCGTCGTTTAATGGATATGTAACTGGATATATATTAACAAAGATACGTATAGTTGAAAATTAATATCTACCTTTATATAATGTTCATTTATGAAATTCATTAGAAGCCAAAGGTTAATAATAAAATTAGTAAGAAAATAAATTAATAACCAAATGTATAACTCTCCGGTAGAAATAGAAATTTCCTTAAATCGTTAACCTGTCAAGAATCGACGCAACGTTTCATTTGCGATAGTTTTTCCATCGATACGCGTTATCAAATTTCGTTTTTTGATGAAACCAAAAAAGAATCGAAATAGATGTTTGTAATATTAAAGCAGATTGTCGTTTGGCCCTTGGTGGGTTAACGTTGCCAAAAAAGAAAAAAAAAAAAATAGCGGGCATCAAATTTACCTGAAAACAACATTTTCCAAGCGGAGTTTAAAAGAGTTTTTCAACTCGCGTTAAATACGATGTGACAAACAAATGTTCTATCCGACGTTCTCCGATCGTTTAATTCCATATACGTTAGTTGTTTTATCTAATCGTT